GGAAAGAACCACCCAAAACCAATAACCATCAGGGCTCATACAAAGCTGGGCAGAGTGCCTATTCTGACCAACTACAATGAAAAACCTCATTAGTCACAAAGAATCAGGGAGAGTATTCAGAAGGGTTTTGCTTCAATAATAGTACTCAATTAGCCCCAAACTAAAAGCTACTCTGGTGGTCCTGACTAACAAAGCTTTTGAGACTTAAAAGAATAAAATTGTTTCTAAGTAACTTAACTGCTTCAGATAATAAAGTTCAAGGAGATTTTTAGAAATATAAAATATCTAGTCCCAATAAGTCACAATGTCTGACATCCAAATTAAACTTAACAGGTATGAAAGAAGAAAAAAATACAACCCATAATGAGAAAAATCAATCAATAGAAAAGGACCCAGAACTGATAATAGGATAGAATTGGTTGACAGGACATTAAAACAACTGCTATAACTGTAGACTAAATGTTTAAAAACCAACAGGAAAGACTGAACATGTTAAGCAGAGACATGTGAAGAAAAAAATCAAATTGAACATAATATAAAAAGTACATCTCAGATGAAAAAAATATGAAGATGAACTTAACAGCAGATTTGACAGTGCAAAAGAAAAATCAATGAACTTGAAGACATAATAGAATATTCAAAACAAAAAATGGAGAAAAAATTAGAAGCACATACCACCACCACCACCACCACCAGTAAGCTGTGACACAACTTCAAGTGACCTTAATATATATGCATCATGGGAGAGATGAAAAAAATATGTAATGATATAATGGCCAAAATTTTCCAAATTAGATGAAAAAATTATAAGCCCATAGATCAAGAAGTCCAACTAACACTAAGCAAAGAAACATTAAGAAGTTATACCAGGGCATGTCATCATCAAACTATTTAAAAGAAATGATAAAAAAATATTGTGAAAGGAGCTGGCAAAAAAAGATATGTTACGCCCTAACTGGTTTGGCTCAACGGATAGAGTGTCAGCCTGAGGATTGAAGGGTCCCAGGTTTGATTCCAGTCAAGGGCATGTACCTTGGTTGTGGGCACAACCTCAGTAGGGAGTGTGCAGGAGGCAGCCAATCAATTATTCTCTCTCATCATTGATGTTTCTATCTCTCTCTCCCTTTCCCTTCGTCTCTAAAATCAATAAAATATAG